CTAGTCATTGTTTGCTATGGGTAACTAACCCCAGGAACCTATGGAGGATTCTGGGTGAGTCAAGTGAATTAACAAGGTCCTTCTGGTATTTCCACTTGTAAAGCCTACTTAAATGTGATCCTAACTTAACCTAAATTCTTTCATGCACTAATTTAACCAACACTAAGAAACTACATGTTCAGCACTGTGGCTACAAATGTGAACCTGTCTGTATGAAATGTGTACCTGTCTTTATGAAATGTGTATCAAAGAATCAAAATACCATATAAGTAAATAAATCCTACATTTAAAAGGGATACATGATACATCTGAACACCAATGACTGTGCCTTTTCTGGATGTATGTTAAAATATGGAATATGCAGAACTAGAGGGAGCCTTAGAAAGCCCTTTGTCCATTTTCCTCTTATAGATAAGACATCAAAGTTCAGGAAAGTTACACATATTGTTCTACTTAGGAACTATGTGAACCAATTGAATAGTCAGTTGTTAGGCTACCAATCACTCTCTGATATGACCCTTTCTTAACTCTCTGCCCATCTAACTCACTTTCCCTTTATTCTACAGTACGTTTTAGCCTACTGCGATTAGCATACTCCACCAGTCTCCATCTGTGAAACTCTTTCCAAGGCCCAATTCAAAAGCCATGAAGCTTTCCTCCACTGGCACCATCCAAGTACTCTTCTCTACATCTCCTTGGCCTTCATCAAAATTTATCCTGAACTCTGTGTGCATTTTATCCCTGTTAAGCATGTGCTCCTTAAAGGTAGAAAATGTCTCACCATGTCACCCCTAATGTGGTGCCTCATTTATGGTCCTAATGAAGAACCAGCACCAGAGCAAGCCAAAGGAGTAATCATCCCACTTAAGGATCACTGGCCTATTAAAGTGCTTCTGAACATTCAAAGTTAATGAAGACAGAAGTTTAAAGCTGGGGTCAGGAAGTCTATCCTTTACTTTACAAACATCCATATAGCACATAGAACATAATAGGCACTGCTCTAAGTATCTTACAAATATTAACTCATTTAATTCAGATAACAACCTCTTAAGACAGAAACTACTACTATTCATTTCACAAATGAGAAAAGGAAACATGCAAGATAAAATAATTTACTCAAAATCACTAAAACAGGATTTGAAGCCAGAGTTCAAAATTAATGCTCGTAACCACTAAGCAATGCTGTAAAAGAAAACAATCTTGATTGCCTTTAAAATGACAAAAGATAATTTAGAAAAATAAAATCATCTATGCTAAAAGTCACCACGATTGCTTTTTTACTTTTCACTAAACGTTGATTTAAAAAAGTGCCAGAACTCCAAATCACACTACAGTAGAGGTCAACACGCACACAAATGTCAAGAGATACCTAATTATTTTAATTCACAAAATAGTGTCATATGTCACCCGGTCTTTTACATTACAGCTCTTATTATTTTTTCCTACTTCCTTTAGGAACACATTATTACTATGTTTTCTGTCACCCTCTCAAATGATACGAGCTTCCTGTCTCATTTTTCCAAATCTTTAAATAGCTTCTATCTGGTTGTGAGGCTGGGACCTAACACAAATGTCACATCTGGCCTCTTGAAAAATTTCATCAGCTGCACCTTGGAGTCATACTTATGTTAAAGGTCAAGAAACGATGCCCTATAATGTAGCCAATCCACCCTCACCCACAAGCAATGCTTCCTGTAAAACAGATCAATCAATATGCTACTTAAGACAGGTGACACCTGGGAACACAATATAGATGACAGCTGCAAGCTGAATGTGAGGGTAATCGGGGTAATCACTGGTCCACTGGGTAGAACTCTGAAAATCTGTAAAAGGGCATACTGACACACAATTTCAAATAATAGGACACTGCCAGGAACCGTAGGTAACAAAGCAAGAAAAAGACCATCCTGAGTTGCTCCTTTCAAGCAATGGTGTCAGGCAGCTCCAGCGAAAGGCACCGGTGGGGAAAAAAGGGGTTATTTTCCCTGGTAAGAAGCAACAGGCCACGGTCTACATACTACAGACAGTGCCAAAACGTAGAGACACCGACAGGAATGCAAAATCATTTCTAAATATTAAACCCCATGTCGTATAAAATTTTACACTGAGGATTTTTAAACTTAAGGCCTGTTAGAACAGTTTAGCAAACTTTAGCTTAAGCACCAAATCAAGTTAGTAGACTGTTTCTGTACAGCCTTCTGTACATGAAAACTTCTTATGTTTTTAAGGGTTGTAAGACAAAAAATAGTAAGAACACAGATGGTGGTCAGCAAAGGCTAAAACGGTTACTATATGACTCTTTACAGAAAAAGTTTGCCAAGCTCTAGTTTAAAATCTTCAAAGACACTACTGAGATTTAGTTATTCCATCCGTGGTTCATATATTAATTTTTTAAGAAGATTCACTGGATTTCAGTATTATACTCCAGCCAACAATATAAGATGTAATAAAAGTCTGGACCTAGTTACTGATGTCTACTTTCAGCCCTCTGGCTCTTATTGTCTGCTCACTTTGGTTAGAAACTAGAAAACTATTTGGCAGGGGATAAAAAGTGAAATTGGGGGGGCACCTAGGTGGCTCAAGCGTTGGTTGGTTAAGCGTCTGACTTCAGTTCAGGTCATGATCTCACAGTTCGTGGGTCTGAGCCCTGCAACAGACTCTTTAACAGTTCGAAGCTTGGAGCCTGGATCCTGCTTTGGATTCTGTCTCACTCGCTCTCTCTGCCCCCCCCCCCCCACTCTACCTCTCTCTCAAAAATAAACGTTAAAAAAAATTTTTAAGTGAAATTGGCTGTATTAGATTTCACGACAACCTATGGATTATTCTTATTCTTTTTCTTATAAATCACTTAGTTTGCCTTCCCCAAACCACTCAGCAAGCCGGCTATGCTTTTCTGTATTTTTATGACAGATATTATTTATCACTTATTCTATAACAACCACCATACTGAACACTTTACACCTATATTTTCATTTAGTTTCCTCCCTCCCACAGAATGTTAGCTTCCTAAGGACTGAAGTTGTTGTCTACTTTGTTCACTAACGAATCCTCAATGCCAAAATAGCACTCTGCAGGTGTTCAATACCTTCTATTAGTAATGAATCCTCATAGGTGGATGAGCAGAGCACTATTATCACTCAGATGGAGAAACTGAGGCACAGAAGTTAAATTACTTGAGCCATGGGGTGCCTAGGTGGCTCAGTCAGTTAAGCGTCTGACTCCTGATTTCAGCTCAGGTCATGTTCAAAAGGTTCTTGGGATCAAGCCCCACCACAGGGTTCTATGCTGACAGCACAAGCCTCCTTGGGATTCTCTGTCCCTCTCTCTGCCTCTCTCCCCAACTCTTGCATTCTCTCTCTCAAAATAATTTTTTTTTTAAATTTTAATAAATACGTAAGTGACCGGAGCCATAATGTCAAAGCTGGAACGTGAACTCAGCCATCCTGACTACACTCTAAGTGAAGCACTACGCTGCTGCCCTAGTACCTTCCAAACAGAAATGTCCCATCTGAAAGTCTAAGTTTTGTTTAACTACTAGGGTTTGATTATAATTGCTTCCATTATAGCAACTAGGAGAGCTAGGTTTAAATTTTTTATTCTCAGGGGCGCCTGGGTGGCTTAGTCGGTTAAGCGTCCGACTTTCGCTTAGGTCATGATCTCGCGGGTCGTGGGTTCGAGCCCCGCGTCGGGCTCTGTGCTGACTGCCAGCTCGGAGCCTGGAGCCTATTTCAGAGTCTGTGTCTCCCTCTCTCTCTGACCCTCCCCTGCTCACGCTGTCTCTCTCTCTCTCTCTCCTAGAAATAAATAAAAATATTAAAAAAAAATAAATTTCTCATTCTCAGATGGAGGACCCCTGTGTTATGAAAAAACACACACAATTCAGAACGTCTCCATGTATCCTAGCAAAAGTGCCACTTTTCTAAGGAGTGCAGTGATTTTTTTTAAGTTTTTGTAAAACCAAATATAAGTGCAAAACTCGGTGACAGTTAAGTCCGCCTCATTTTTAAAGAAAAAAGCTGCTGTAACGTGTACTTTATGTTAAGTTCTGCAGGTTGGAAATCGGAGATTCAAAACAAAGTCCAAAAAAGAAATACAGTCAGGACAGCTACAAGCAGAGAGAAAACCTGCCTGAGTGATATGGATGCAGAAATACCGAGCTGTGCACACAGCAGGTGCTCAATCAATGCTTTTGGAAGAAACGAAAAGGGTAACAAGCTCTTCTTGGGTTTTATAAACCTCCTTGGTTTGTATACTAGGAAAAGCTACAGGAAAAGCACGGAGTACCAGTCATGAAAATGATGTCTTCAGATATAATGAAAACTTGAAGGGAGAGGGCTCCCATGGTGCAACAGCATGAAGGAAAATAAGAAGCAAAAAATGATAATAAATAGCATCTCTAAGAGCTGGAACCCCAAGCGATTACAGCCTTTTGACTAAACCAAGGAAATGAGAAACTGAATGACAAATAGAATGGCTGTGTCCATCACACTGCCATCTTCAATCTACCTCCAGCAAGGGTCCCCAAAACTCTCTCCTCTACCTAGAAAGAGCTGCAACGAAGTAAGATCAAAGAGGCAGCTTGGCAATGAGTGACAGCTGTTTGAAACTTAGCGGGCCCCTTCAAAGTTCGCAGCCCTAGGCTCTAGAAGGATCCAGGGCCCTGTAAAAAGGGCCAATACCTTAGCCCCACCCCAGCCCCACAGATTCAAAGTCTGGAGGCGGGGCCTGAAATCTGCATTTTTAACCACACCTCCAGACGCGTCCTGGGCCCGCTAAAAGTTCGGCAACTACCATCTTAGTCGGGTTTGATAAAGAAAAGGCAAGCCGCGCGGAAAGGATGAGGTGGGGGCGAGGGAGGGGACAACTGACATCAGATCCCTAGGCAGGTACAAAGTCCGCTCGCCCACCCGACTGCGGAGCGGGAATGGAAGGAGGAAGCCTGGGTTTGAAAAGATCCCCTCCCCCGCCCTCGCGGCAACCCGCCGAGGGTCCGTCTTTACCATCGCGAGCAGCGCAGCAGCTTCTCCAACCGGTCGAGCGCGGCGCGGCTGTGGGCCCAGGCTCCGCGCCCCTCGGGCTCCATGGCGGGCGCGGGACGAGGCTCGTTCCCAGACCGGACCCTCGGCTGCCGATTCCCCGGCATCGCCCTCCCTTCGCCGGAAGAGATCCTCCCAGAGTTTGAGACGCGAGGGCTTGGGCGACGACTGAGACGCCGCAGGCCTCACACCCGACCCCAGCCCGAACGGTCCCAGGTTCTGGGCGGGCCGGACGCTGGGGGGGCGGGGCCCCGGAAACGCGCCAAAAGTCCAGAGCGCGGGGCCGGGAGGGGCGGGGCCTGCAGTTGGCGGGAAAGGGGGCGGGTCCAGGCCTCTTGGAGGGATAAAGGTGAGAAAAAGCAAGTCCTTTACTTTTCTGAACCATTGGTTTTAGGGACCTCTGGACGCGACTGATGGAAAATCACAAACCAAGGAACTTTTAGTAGAGGGGAATCTCTAAAGAATGCAGTTTTGACTACCTTAGAACTGGGAAAAGCTTTGGTCCTGACACTGAATGTGCCACCTTCTTTACTTCTGAGAAAGTAACTGTCTCACCCTCCCCCCTCCACCTTTTACAAGTTTTTTGGTTTGTTAAAGATCTGATGAGGGAGCTTGGGGAAAGCTGAGAGCAAAAACCAGGCTGGCATCCACCCCGCCCCATTCCCAAGCACAGGTGGAATGTGTGTGATACTCCTTGGACATTCCTGGCTACCCAAGAACAAAGGAAAAGTGTTACTGTGCTTGCCGTGGTAATGTGAAAAACTAAGGCAAATGAAAAAATAAATTCCCTTACTGACCATTGACAAGTCTTGAAAACTGGCAGAGTGACCTCCCTCTAGGAGCTCAGCTGCCTCAAAGACGACACTTTGGTGGGGGCAAAAGAGAACCGTAGCTTAACATAAGCTCAACCTCAAAGATCCTGTAAGTCAACTTTCTTTATCTAAACTGCCCCAAGATAACATGCTGGCAATCATACTCCAAGCTTATGCCTCCCCCCAATATATCTAAAGGGTCTCCTAACTGAGGATTTATTAAATGGTAATAAGCAGTGTTTCCCTAGAAATAGCTAGCCCTTCAAGGTCCTAGGAACCTTGCTTCCAAAATTCCTTAGAGACTTATTCTATGCCTGACCCACTTCCAATCTGAGAGTATATAATGAGTTACCTGTCAGGACTCCAGTGCAACTCTTCCTGACCATGGGTCCTGTCCCCATGTTTTAATAAAATCACCTTTTGGCACCAAAGATGTCTTCAAGAATTCTTTCTTGGCCTTTGGCTTTGAACCACTCCACCATCACCCCAAAACTTCATCAGATCCACACAAGGATCTTTCATTACTCGCCATATTTTATGGATAACACCTACTGAGCACCCTTCACCCTCCCCGTCCAATCCACTGCCAAATCATTGCATTTCCCCTCTGACTTATTCTCATATCTACCCACTTCTTTCTGTCTTCACTCCACCACAGGCCCCTTGTCTCACTTTTACCTAGATTGTTGCCTTAGCCTGCTGGCTGGTATCCATGTGTCCACCCAAGTCCCCTCTAGTCCTTAGGCTACACTGTAGCCATCTAAAACATTTCCAAATAACATAACCACTTGGTTAGTAGAAACAGAATAGGGGGAAAAAAAAAAAAAAACTAAGGAAGATCTTAGAGGGTATTTTTACTGACCTGTAATAGCGTATTAAACTAACCAAATTTTTTTTCTTAAACTCACAGGTAGTCAAGAAATTGATTTTGATTATTAACTCTGTTAAACCATTGCTTACTCTTTGCAGAGCTTCAGAGAAATCAAACTCTAGAAAACTTAAAACGTTACATACACTTGGAGATACTGTGGTATATAATGGAGTAAATTGGGGATTTCAGGAGCCAGACATACCTACTTCTAATCCCACTTCCTCTGCTAAATAATTTTGTGATTTAAATCAGATCTTAAGTCCTCTGAACATTAGTTTCCCTATCTGTAAAGTGGGAATACTTATTCCATAGATCTAAAGGATTATTATATGAGATAAATGTAAAATCACCTACATCATAAGTGCTCAATAAGTGGTAGCTAATATGAAGATGATTACATATATAACCAGTACTGGTTTTCTTTTTTTTAAAATTTTTATGTTTGAGAGAGAGAGAGAAAAAGAGACATACATAACTGGTACTATTAATGTTTTACTTACCACAGAATAACACTGAATAATTTTATCAGATGCTTTTGTAATTAGGACATAACTGATCAGAGTAAATGCAAATTTCACACTTTGGACCAAACAGTTGTTACTGACCTATTTGTATAGCGCTATTAAATGAGTTGTGCAGGGACAATGAGGTCTTTCTCCCACTAGCTTCCTCTTCTTTCCTTCTGCCATTGCCTCATCACCTCTCACCAAATCTCATGAAATTCTCAGCAGCTGGTTGATGGCAGTCATAGTAAACTCATCAAGAGAATAAGCAAGGTTACTCTTCCATCTGCAACTTCCCCTTCCATTACCTTCCTCCAGCCCTGCTCTGTTAGCACAAGTGGCTGATGCTTTTACCTTTACTTAAAAAAAAATTTTTTTTTAGAGAGAGAAAGCGCACAAGCAGGAAAGAGGGGGGCAGAGGAGTGGCGGGGGGCGTGGGAGGGGGGGAGAGTATCCCAAGCATGTTCCACGCTCAGTGCTGAGTCTTGACTCAGTCAGTACTCAATCCCACAATGCTGGGATCATGACCTGAGCCAAAATTAAGACTCAGACACTCAACCAACTGAGCTACCCAGGCACCCCACTTTACCTTTCTTTTTAAATTCCAGTATAATTAGCACAGTGTTTTATTAGTTCCAAATGTGCAATATAGTGATTCAACAATTCTGTACATTATTCAGTGCTCATCACAATTAGTGTACTCTTAATCTCCTTCATTTATTTCACCCATCCACCTCCCCTCTGGTAACTAGCAGTTCTCTATTTATAAGACTATTTCTTGGTTTCTATCTTATTTCCTGTGTTCATTTTTTCTGTTTCTTAAATTCCACATATGTCTAAAATCATATGGTATTTATCTTTCTCTGACTTACTGATTTCACTTAGCATTATACCCTCTAGATACATCCATGCTGTTGCAAATGGCAAGATTTCATTCTTTTTCTTTTTATGGCTTAGTAGTATTATACTGTGTGTGGGTAGAGATGATAGATAGATAGATAGATAGATAGATAGATAGATCTTTATACATTCATCTATGGATGGACACTTGGCTATTTTGGCTATTGCAAATAATGTAGCAATAAACATAGGGGTGCATATATCTTTTCTAATTGGTGTCTTTGTATTCTTTGGGTTAAATAGCCACTCGTGGAATTACTGGTTCACATGATAAATCTGTTTTTAATTTTTTGAGAAAACTTCATACTGTATTCCACAGTGGCTGCACCAATTTGCATTTCCACCAACAGTGCATGAGAGTTCCTTTTTCTCCACATCCTTACCAACACTTATATTTTCTTCTGTTTTTGCTGTTAGCTATTCTGATAGGTGTGAGGTGGGATGGCATATGTTTTTGCATCAACCTTTCCTCCCAGCCTTGGATCCTGGATTTTAAGAGCCAGTGCATTCTCCCATGTGCATTTATGTGTGTGTACAAAACATGGGCCAATCCAGGATGAGGTACACCAAGAATGCCTAAAATCCTGGAACTGTGCTTCCAGAGAACAACTTCCCAGGAAAATCCAGTCCATCTATGGGGTTTTGGTAAAGCCTTAGCTTAGGCATTAGCAGTATCCTGTCTTCACTTTAAAGGGGACTGAATGTCTTAATTCCCTTTTCGTGTCCTACAAGGACCTCCCAAGTACATCAGAGTTTAGGTTTGTTTCTCCATTTTGCTCCTAGTCTGTTCTCTTCCAGCTAAGCAGGACCTTAGACTCTTCCAAAATTATTCAGCCCACCCAGTGTAACATTTGGGTCCTATGGGCATTCTGAGGCAGACAAATCGGCTTGCTTTAGCCTGTTTACATATCCTTCTCTCTTCATGCCCTTTCCAACTGCATTGATTACCATCTGTAGTGCTGCTTATACTCCAAAGGCATCTTGGTCTGGTCTCTTTCCTGATCTTCAGGCTCAATATCACAGTTTGTGGAAAACAAACTGTCTAAATGTTAATTTCTTTCTTCTGTTGTGTTGTGAAGGCTTTCACATAGTAAATTTCCCTCATATGCACTTGGATAAACATATTTAACAAGCAAAACAGGACAAACATAATACCAAGGCTCTTCTCGTTTGGGAATGTGAAGCTACCTCACAAATTCAGCACGTACCCAAATTCTTCTCTGGCTTTTAATTATGGTGTCATACGATAGAATCAAATGCTGTGACTCTTTTGGGTGCATTCTCTTTTTCACGTATAAATTTTGTTTGCCAGGACCTCTATGAAACATAGACCACCCCCCCCCTGCCCAAATGCAGTTTGAGAACAACTGATAAAGAACAATTGAATGGAACAGACCTCCACAGCATCCAGGAGTGTGGTCTGCACTCTCTACATTTGACTCACCTAGCCTTCCTGAGTGAAAATGCTCTTAACCTAAGTTAAAGTCATAAGCTCTGTGCTATTTTTTCTGGAATCCAATGTGGCATAATGATTAAGTGCATAGAGCTCTGAGTGAAGCAGAACTGGGTTATAAACCAAGCCCTGCCATTTCCTATGATTGTACCCAAGGGCCCGTTGTTTAACTTGTTTTGGAACTTAGTTTCATCTCTTGTAAATTTAAGATTAACATCTCCCAACCTCACACTGGTAGGGTTGTTGTGAGAAAAGAATTACAAATTGTGAAAATGTTCTAAACTAGTAGTGCAGCCCAACCAAGGGAAATCTCTTCATGATGAACTGGACTGAGCTTTAACACATACATCAAAGCTTAATTCACAGTAAGCATTGAATACATTTTCCCCCAATTTTAGGACTAGTTCTGGCATTATTGACCTGTACTAAGCCAGTTATACTTGCTTTAAAATTCTCATAAGAGGGGAGCCTGGGAAGCTCAGTCGGTGAAGTGTCTGACTTTGGCTCAGGTCATGATCTCGCGGGTTCATGAGTTCAAGCCCCACGTCCGGCTCTGTGCTGATAGCTCGGAGACTGGAGCCCGCTTTCAGATTCTGTGTCTCCCTCTCTCTCCGCCCCTCCCCCCATGTTCATTTGCTCTTTTTCTCTCTCTCTCTCTCAAAATAAATAAACAGT